TGGTCTTCACAAAGCCAAAAAAAAAAGAACATAAACCTTAACGAAAAAACAAAGAAATATAAATTAGAAGTGACCAAGTTGTGCAGTGCAGTGATAGTGATAAATAAATACAGGAAAAATAAAAATAAAGCATAAAATATAAAATATAAACACAAAACTAAAGCGAGAATAAAAAGTGGTGGCAAAATTATTTAATACTTACATATRTACATATGAGGACAGTGATTAAAGCTTACATACATACATAAACGTGAAGTGTGCGCATATACATACGTACATATATACATAAATATAATTAGCATATAACTAAAGAAACTAAAAAGKGGTACTTACAGTGTACGAGGTGAATTATTTATGCGGTACAGTGGTGGGCGCAAATAAAAGAACAAAAAGTTTGTGCCGTAACCAAAAAAAAAATTTATATATATCATCCGTTGCTGCCAATCCGTTGATGCGGTAATTACTTCGTTTCCATCACTTCGCTGTTATAACACCGCTGCTGCCACCAACCCGCCGCTACCAAAACGCCGCTGCTGCCATCGTCGCTGCTACCATCAAGCCGCTGCTGCCTTCAATCCGCTGCTGTCGTGGGAAGGAGCTGCCGACGCACCAGGTAACGAGTGCAACTTACTGAAAGCAGTGCGAACAGAAAATAAATCGAAAACACGTACAAATAAAATTAAAAAACAAAAAACAAGTGCACACTTTCAGTTTTTGGCTCTCCCTTTTCACTTTACATATATTACATTGACTTTATTGTATTGCCTTGTATTTAATATACAAATATACATATACATATATTAATACATGCTCAAACATATACGAATTCAAAGTGAATAAGGGATTTTGGGATTTTGCAGTAGCCCATTATTTTGAAAAAAAGGAAAAAGAAATTATTAATTGCAAATTAAATTTTCTAATTTTTCGCAATTTTTTCGATCCGCGTTTGCAATTATCGGTCGTTTTTTCGCAATTTTTATCGATTTTCTTTCAGACATTTTCCGATTAAATTACTTTTTAGTGCTATTGCTCATTTTGCACATGTATTGGTTTGGCTTTCGTATACGTGGGGATCGATGTTTTTTTTTCGTTTTTGTAACCGATTCCAAATATATTTGTTGTAAACTTTTATTGCTATTGGTTTGGCTTTCGTATCTTTGGGAATCGAGATATATTTTTTCGTTTTCGTTATCGATATTTAATATATCTATTGCCAACCGTTATAGTCTTTTTTCGGAAATTTAATTTAACCAACGCAAAATGAGCAAGCCAAAGCTAACTCTCACAAGCCTGTCTCCAAGTAAGGAGTTGACGGACTTAAAATCATTAAGACGTCAAAGAACGGTTGCGAAAAGTAGTATTTCGCGCATTAAAACGGGCCTTCTCGAAAAGACTATGTCTTTAGATCCAATAGAATTGGAATGTCGTCTCGATATATTAAATTCGCATAGTGAAAAATTAATGAAGTGCCAATCAAAGATTGAAGAAATTGATGAGGACGACATGGCCCGAGGGGAGTTAGAGGACATAATCGTTGAAACGAAATCCATAATTAAGT